GAGAAACGACTCTGTCCCTGTGGAGATGGCAATCTGGAAACAGTGGCTCATGTTCTCCTGTCCTGTCCCCTTTATAAAGATCTGAGGAATGAGATCATTACCCCACTCTTTCTTACCATCTCAGGCCGCCCATCTGCGGCCACATTGTTCTTTCTTTTATCAGATCAAAATGATCAGAAAACAGCAAAGGTTGCTAGGTTTATCGAGGGTGCAAGGAGATTAAGGGCGACTATCTGAACGATAATCTTGGTCATTTGATTGCCCTTTTTACCCATTGCTGTCTTTTTTATTGTACATATTGCTTGTTTTATGTTGCTATGGCCATTGGCTAATGCAAATAACGTTTATCTGTCTATCTATGTTAAAGAATATTGTCAGATGATAAATCGGTTGGCAAGTTTTGACTGAGCTTCTGTGCCTTAAGAAGGACAATTTTACAAAATCTAATGTAAGTTAAATAACAAGGAGAAACAAAGTCAATGTGCAGTTCTAAAGAATTTAATTTGTGAACATAATGGGAAGATCGGATGTCAAGTTTAATTACAAAATAGTGTACAAACAAGTATCAAACAATGAATGTTTGAAACTGTTTATTTCTATTTTGTTTATAACATTTACTGAAAATTTTTGTTGTACGGTTTTGAAACCAGTAAAGCATTTTTTTTTAAATTGTGAATCTAAGTTTGGCCTCATTGGGGGGTAGTATTTCAATATGAGCAGGAAAATGAGAATACCCCTAACATTTTTTAAGAAAAAAAGCACTGGGCATTGTTGTTGTTGCACTGGGCATAATGATGCCTGATTGACTGCATTTTGACTCCCAAGGTGGAAAGGATTCCTCCTGAGAGTCCTCCTGTGACCTTCAGCTGCAGCCCTCTTAACCTCACTTTCCTGGAAGTTGCCTTCTTTTTTGGCAATCACTCGTAGCCGGGTAAGATTGTCTTCCACGAAAGCAGCGAGTCCATGGAAGCAAGCCCTCGTTGAGCGAATTGGGACTTAAGAGAGTCGCGGTTAGCGGGATTGCACCTGTTGTCGTTTTGCACTTCAGAGAAGCCTCATCGACAGTCCCTCGCCTTGGACTGGAGGAAGGGGGACAAGATGGGGGGCAGACCGAACCTCCTGTGCCCTTCTGAGGGTTGAGAGGAAATCGGAGAGGTTGCAACATGGCACCCAGCTGGTCACTGCGAGAACAGCATGGGGGACTAGATGGCCCGCTGGCCTGATCCAGCACAGCTCTTCTTAGGTCATTCTGGCTTATATAAACATATTCTGCCACATCCTTCCTTTAAAGAGTTTTGATTGCTTACATTGGACTTCATCACGACAGACCTGGGAGGTAGGCTAAGTTGAGAGAGGCTGGCTGCCAAATATTCTTTTCGTTGCAGAATGTGATGGTGATTTTGGGTGTTTTCCAACGGCCCACAAATGTGTAATAATATTAATAATAATAATAATAATAATAATTTATTTATACCCTGCCCATCTGGCTGAGTTTCCCCAGCCACTCTGGGAGGCTTCCAATCAAGTGTTAAAAACAATACAGCATTAAATATTAAAAACCTCCCTAAACAGGGCTGCCTTCAGATGTCTTTTAAAGAGAAGATAGCTGCTTATTTCCTTCACATCTGATGGGAGGGCATTCCACAGGGCAGGCGCCACTACCGAGAAGCCCCTTTGTCTGGTTCCCTGTAACCTCATTTCTCGCAATGAGGGAACCACCAGAAGGCCCTTGGCGCTGGACCTCATTGTCCGAGCTGAACGATGGGGGTGGAGACACTCCTTCAGGTATACAGGACCAAGGCCGTTTATATCATTACCTGCACAGGTGAGGCCACACCCACCTCTAGTCACATGTAGAGGAAGTCTGTCCCTGCCCAGAGGGAAACAGGAAGTCTACCTGCTGGCTGGACAAACATCCCTCCCCATGTGCAAACATGTTCACTCTAGGAATGTTGTACTTGACTGCTCTTGTGTTTCACATCCCACAGTTTAGGGCTTTAAAGGTCAGCACCAACACTTTGAGTTGTGCTCGGAAACGTACTGGGAGCCAATGCAGATCTCTCAGGACCGGTGTTATATGGTTCCAGTGGCCACTCCCAGTCACCAGTTTAGCTGCCGCATTCTGGATTATAGTTTCCGGGTCACCTTCAAAGGTAGCCCCACGTAGAGAGCATTGCAGTAGTCCAAGCAGGAGATAACCAGAGCATGCACCACTCTGGCGAGACAGTCCATGGGCAGGTAGGGTCTCAGCCTGCGTACCAGGTGGAGCTTGTAAACAGATGCCCTGGACACTGTAGCAGGAAACCCCCCCCCCTCATTACACTGTAATGCGCAAGCACCACACACACACCTCCCACCTTCCTCGAGCCTGAAGATGCCCCTCTAGAGGGGCATCCCCTGAAAGCCTTCCGTAAATAAGCGCTAACTTGACAGCTCCGTGTGGAACCCCTTTATTTTCATATATTTTCCCTGAGTAGACCGTAAAACTCTACCTCACCCAATTCCTTTAATGGGTTGACCAATTCTCTGAACTTGGGGTCAATCAGCTGCCACTTCAGCCAATCAGCGCTACCGAACAGCGCCCCTTGTGGCGACCACGCAGGTACTGCAGGCAAAGGCGCGCGCTTCTCTATGCTTTGACAGCTCTCAAATACAAAGTTTCGAGTTTAATTGACCGTGACTGATCTAATCAAAATGTTGAAACCTGCTTCCGGGAAAGTGAAAGTGCTTTGAACTTCTAGGACAGTTTCTTCATAAATTCACTATAAATCAGCCGTACATCGGATTTTCACCAGACCACTTTTATTCTGCTTCATATTACAAGGACTATCAAAGGGGGAGTGGCTTGATGCCAGTCGGACATAATCCCTTGAGCGAGGGGGCACGTACTCTACAGCCCTTCCCAATTGGCATGGCAACCTTGATAGTCATCTTGATAGGCTCAGACAGAAGACTATCAAGAACACAACGAACTGCATACACGAGTGGATTCAGCACGGACTATGATAAAGGGACAGTGATTGGATTCCCCTCAGGGGGCAGGAAACTGCACCTATGCTTTTGTCTTCTGGAAATGACTCATGGGGAGGGGGAGAAGGGGCTCCGGCCAGGTGTCATGATACTCAGATTACCTGTGTAACTCAGGGGATTAGAAGCTAATAAAAGTTGGGGTTTTCCTTTGTTCGGGGCCTCCATTTTGCTTCACCTTGTGGGCGGTGGGAGTCCTGTCGCTGCTGATTTGCTCCAAGTTACTCTGGTCGGTGTCTTTGCTTTTACCCAAGGGAGCCCTCGGATTTTCCGTTAACAACACAGAATTCACCTGCGCCTCCATGGACAGCTGTGAGTCCAAAATGACTCCCAGGCTGCGCACCTGGTCCTTCAGGGGCACAGTTACCCTGCTGGGTTGTTGTTTTTCTAAAGCACCCTCCCACGACCCCAAAATCTCAGCCTGCCTGGGGCTCAGGGCCAAAGCCTGAAACTAAATCTCCCAGAAGCCTTTGCGTCTGAGAAGGAAAGGAGCCCAGGAGTGGGGAGTCCCACAAGGTGAAGGGGCTTTTGCTTTTTTCTCTCGCCAGTCCCCGAGATCAGGGGCTTTTGCAGGGCAAGAGGCAGAAGGAGCTTTTTCTTGCTAGGCTTTGGAGGGGAAAGGCTCTTTCGCAGGAAGGGAGGCGACTTGAGCGTTGCTTCCAGACGGGGGAAATGCTGGACTAAGGAAGGAAGATCTGCAGACTAAGGGAGATCCACGGCTGCCAGGAGCCTGCTAGGTCCCTCCTGGAGACTTGAGCTCCAGACACGGATCTTTCCGGGTCTTGTGCATCTGAGCCCTTTCCTGCATGCAAAGGACGAGGTTTGGGAGATCTTCATGGAGAAGCCCCCGGGAGTAGGAGATCCTTCCCTTCCCTCAATCGGACCAACGTTGATGTTCACCGGCAGAACTCGAACGAGGGATTTAGAGAGCTGCCGCCGCCGGCCTCTTATATAGAGGCTTTTAAACACGATCTAATAGCAGGCGGGCTCTTTAAGTTCTGTTGCCATTCTCCCTCATCTATGTGGTTGGCGCAGAGCAAAGTTACTCTCTCTTTTCCTAGCGGTGAGTCAAAGTCTATATCTAATTGCCAGTTCCATGGCTTGGTCAAGACAGGCCAGTCCGCTAGTTGACTCCTTATCAGGCCAGCTGTCTAGACCTCTGCTTGATGCCATGTTCTCATTATATAGATAAATTCATGGGAAAGCCCTCTGTGATGGCCTGGTAATCCAATTCAGAGGCTGAACCGGAGGCATCCCAGCCTGCACAGGAGTCCCCGCCTCCAGGGCCGGCTGAACTGGGGCAGGGGCTTGATTCTGAAGCGCCTGCACCTGTGCCAGATCCTCAGGAGCAGGCACCAGGTGAATCCACTCTGGCTCCAGAGGTGGTTGAGGACTCAGTGCCTACAGGTGAGTCTCCCCCTGGGCCCAGTAACCCTTCAGCCTCTCCTGAACTGCAGAGGCTCAGGGCAGAGAGGCGGAGGGAACTGGTTTCTCCCAGGAGGAGTGCTCGCCTTAAGGCCAGGAGAGGCGGGTCTCCTGGGGGCCGGGACCGCCCCTGGCCTCAGAGAAGATAAAAGGCCAGTCAGCCCGGTCCCAGGTTGCGGGAGCAACATCGTTGAAGAGCTGTTTCGGCCAGCATCCAGTCCTGTTCCCCCAGAGTTCCTGTCCTTGCCCGGCTTCTCGCTGTGGACCCCGCTTCGCCCTTGGAGAGACTGTCTGCTGACCCTCAACTCAGGTCCTGGACCTCGCCCCACGGTAACCTCCCCCCTGGACCAGCACACCCTCGTTATATGTACAGATAGAGTTAAAAGGATTTAGAGCTAAAATTACATCGAGATCAGGAGACACCTCCTTCTAAAAATATCTGGCATTACACATACTCAGAGTGTTGGTGTGGTTTCTCTCCTGTGTGGACTCCCTGAGGCAGCACCAGCCTAGCCCTTCCAGGCCAAACATTTCCCACACTCAAAACATTAATGGGTTTCCCTTTTTAGTGGATTCTCTGGTGCCTTTGAAGATCCAAATGAGCAGCAATTCATTTCCCACACTCCAGACACTTGCGTTGTATTTCCTTCGTGGAGTCTCCAGTGCTGATAAAAGGTTCCTTTCTTTACAAAGCATTCCCCGCACTCCCAACATTTATATGCTTTCTATTCCATATGGAGTCTCTGGTGTTTTCTAAGGTTCCCACTCTGTGAAAACCATTTCCCACACTCTACACATTGGTAAGGCCTCTCTCCTGTGTGGACTTTCTGGTGTTTGCGAACATATGATGACCAAGAAAAACATTTCCCACACTCCATGCATTTGTAGGGTTTTTCTCCTGTGTGGGTTCTCTGGTGTTTCAAAAGATTCCCTTTCTGACGAAAACATTTCCCACACTCCAAGCACTTGTAAGCTTCCTCTCCTGTGTGGATCCTTTGATGCATGTTAAGCTCTGATTTTCTTGCAAAGTATTTCTCACACTCCAAGCATTTATAGGGTGTCTCTCCTGTGTGGGTTCTCTGATGGGAGACAAGGGTGTCTTTCCTTAAAAAACATTTCCCACACTCCAAGCATTTGTGGGGTTTCTCTCCTGTGTGGGTCTTCTGGTGCCCCCTAAGGCTTTGTGCTAAAGTAAATGACATTCCACAGTCTAAACATTTATGTGGCTTTCCTCCTGTGTGGACTCTCTTATGAATAATAAGATGTGATGAAGTGGAAAAACATTTCCCACACTCTCCACATTCATATGGTCTCACTCCTGTGTGGATTCTCTGGTGTACATGAAGGTGTGATTTGCTGGCAAAACATTTTCCACACTCCACACATTTGTAGGGTTTCTCCCCAGTGTGGATTTTTTCGTGCTGCTTGAGGTGTTGTTTCTGGGAAAAGCATTTTCCACACTCCACGCATTTGTAGGGTTTCTCTCCCGTATGGATTCTCTGGTGGATTGCAAGATGTGATGCTGAAATAAAACATTTCCCACACTCCGCACATTTATGAGGCCTCTCCCCGGTGTGCACAGTCTGATGGCTCAGAAGTTCAGCTTTCTCATGAAAACATTTCCCACACTCTCTACATTCATAGGGTTTCTCTCCTGTGTGGATTCTCTGGTGTCGCCTGAGACTTCCATTTCTGGGGAAACATTTGCCACACTCCAGACACTTATGGGGCCTTTCTCCTGTGTGGGTTTTCTGATGGCTTACAAGGCTGGAACGGCAAGTAAACTTTTTTCCACATTCAAAGCATTTATACCGTTTCTCCCCTGTGTGAACCAACCGATGGCTCCAAAGATGTGCATTTTGAGGAAAACATTTCCCACACTCCCAGCATTCATAGGGCTTCTCTCCTGTGTGGAGCCTCCGATGGATTACAAGGCCTGACTTGTGAGCAAATGATTTCCCACACTCTGGGCATTTATAGGGTTTTTCTCCAGTGTGGGTTCGCTGATGGGTAACAAGTTCTGACCTAACAGAAAAGCATAACCCACAAACACTGCATTTGTGGGGCTTCTCTCCTGTGTGGACTTTATGGGGTCCATGAAGCTGTGATCTCTTGGGGAACCCGATCCTACTCTTGCCATATTTGTGGGGTTTCTCCCCTGTGTGGCCTCTTTCATGTTTCACAAAATCTGAGAGTCGGGGAAAACCTTCCCCACACTCCAAGCAGCGATATGGCTTATCTCCTCCTGCATGGACGTTCCGGTGGATCAGAACGATGGGCTGATGAGCAAGAACCTTCCTGAACTCCAAAGACACAGGGGTTTCCAAAGGGCTCACAAGCTCTGAACTCTGAGCAAAACATTCCCCACTCTCAGAGCTTTCCTGGAGCTTCTCCCCTGTGTGGATTCTCTGGTGTCTAGCAAGAGCCAATCCGAAGGCAAAGCATTGGCCACTCTCTGGGCAGAAGTGTTTCCTCCTTGAAATACCTGCTGAGAGAGTGAAGAAAGTGGAATCAGGGTTTGAAGATGGCAGAGAAGTAGCTTCAGAATCCAGACTGAAATCATTGGATCAGATGATGCGTGAGAGACGGAGGTCATACCACTTCTCCCCACCCACCCACCCACCCACAACACCCACTGCATAAGGTATAACCAGTGGAAGAGCCTTTTAAAATGAAGTAACAGAGAACATTTTTCTTGCCCATTCTCAGCAAGGGAGGGGAAACTCTGAACGGACTCGGCATCCCGCCCAAACCTCCTCACCTGAGCTGGTGTCCAAAATGGCAGCCCCTGTTTCATCTGAGATCTGATATTGTGGCGTCCTGGGCTCTTCCGCTTGCTCTGCGCTGGGGACGAGGCTCGACTTGGGATGCGGCAGTGCTATGCGGGAAAGAAGGAAGAAGAGGAGAAAGAAGAAGTGAGGAAGCATTCGGCCTTATGGTCCAAACTATCCCCAACGACCGCTCATCTCCAACATTAATGGGGCAGGAGAACCCATAACTATACAGTACCTTGGGTTTGGGGGCTGGGTGTTTGTAGGGGGCAAGGTGGTCCTTCGCTCTGTGCCAGAAGGAGGGAGGACGGCTGAAGATGTCTGCAGGGTGGGGGGTGGGGACTGCACTGCCAGGGGCCCCAGGGAAGGAACATGGTTGGGGCTTCCCGACTGTGGCTGTGATGCTGATGGGAGTCCCTCAAACATAAACACTTCCTGATACGGGGCTGCATTCAAACGTCTTCTAAAGGTGATATAGTTGTTTATTTCCTTGACATCTGGTGGGAGGGCGTTCCAGAGAGAGGGGGCCACTACCAAGAAGGCTGCCTTTGGCTGGTTCCCTGTAACTTTGCTTCTTGCGGTGAGGGAATCGGCAGAAGACCCTCGGAGGAGGTGGGCCCCAGTCTCCGGGCTGAACGATGGGGCTGGAGACGCTTCTTCAGGTATCCTGGGCCAAGGCTGTCTAGGGTTTGTTGTGGGGATTAAATGGGGGGGGGGAGAGACCAGTGCGCCCCACCTTGAGCTCCTTGGAGGGGGAAAAGGGGGGATCAAAATGCAAGGCATTTGGAATAAAGTACATTTGCATCTCTCGTGCAACAAATCTGCTCCCCACCTACCCCTCCACCCCAAAAGAAGAGTGAGAAGAAAATGTCCCGGAAAGACTGCTTCAGACTCGAGGAAAGAGGCTCCTTACCCAGAGAGGCCACGTCCCCCTCATTCTCCAGCATGGCCTCCCTTGCTCTTCGGCCAACGTCCAGCAGGGAGGGCCCTTTTGACCCTGGAGAAATAAACAGCCCCGTAATCAAAGGTTGGCGGTCTCTGTAATGACAAAATGCCCTCAGCAAAAACTGCAGCACCTCAATAACACCTTTGGTGGCAAGAGCAGAGTGGGAATCTCGGTCTTCCCCATGGATCCTTCCAACTTCTTTCTTTCTTTCTACCAAAAAAGTGCATACATCGTCTCCGTTTTCAAATCATAGAAGTCCTTTCTTCAGTTCTTTTATATTCAATGTGAGATTTTAATGCTCTGTACCAGAGCTTTCCAAACTGTGTGTCACGACACATTAGTGTGTCGGCTGCAGTGTGTAGGTGTGTCGTTTAAACACTCCTCATGTTACTCCCAGGGCTGGAAAAGGGTTAGTTTAACCTCTGGTTTGCTAGGGAAACTGAATTACTGTGTTGCAAAATGATGCAAAACTGAATTATTGCATTGCAAAATTATGCATGTCTGAAAAGTGTGTCACCAACATGAAAAGTTTGGAAAGCTCTGCTGCATGCAGTATAAAAATATGCACAATATTCCACCAAGCTTTCTAAGAGGAATGAATGAATGAGTTTTCTTCTGCTCTTGAGAATCTCCTTCCTCCTCTTTCACCCCGATGCAACGTGCAAACTTATCCGTGCAATGGGAAAAGCCAAAATGGCTCATCTTTCCTGCCGCCCTTTTCTGCCCCGACCCCTCACCGGCATTCACGTGTTGCAGGGTTCAGACGGTGCCCTCTCACCCGCGTAGACCCCCATTTGGCCCCAGGATCTGAGATTTCCACACACCCCATCCCCATGATATACAGGACATTTCAGAACACTTTAAAATATTCAGGGGGGTACTGCAATTGCAGACTTTTTCATTTTTTAAAAAAGCGGATTATGTTATCTGATTTTTTAAAATGTCCAGGTATTTAATTAAAAATATGCACAATATTCCACCAAGCTTTCAAAGAGGAATGAATGAATGAGTTTTCTTCTGCTCTCGAGAATCCCCCCTTCCTCCTCTTTCACCCCGATGCAACGTGCAAACTTATCCGTGCAATGGGGAAAGCCAAAATGGCTCATCTTTCCCGCCGCCCTTTCCTGCCCCGCCCCCTCACCGGCATTCACGTGTTGCAGGGTTCAGACGGTGCCCTCTCACCCGCGGAGAGCTGCTTCCGAAGGGCGCCTCTGCCAGCAAAGACTCCTTCCTGCTCCCACCTTCAGCCTCCCCTGCAAAACCTCTTTGCACCCCAGAGATCGCGATGGCCGGACGCATCCTGCAAAAGACCCACACAAATGGGGGCTGGCCAGAGGAAACAGGCACCTCTTGAGATGTCCTGCCCCTTCGCTTCTTCCCTTTTCCCAGACGCAAAGGATTCTGGGATTTGTAGTCTGTTCCCCTGTGAGGGGAAAAAGTGCCTTTCGGGCTCTGGGGAAGGGTGCTCCTTTATTTTTATTTTCCCTTTCTATTTACTCACCTACTGGCACACCTCTCTGTACCGCCTAACACGTGGCAGTGGTGCCCGGCAAAAATAGTGAGAAGATGAAACCGACTTGCACGTCAACGTGGTGGGATTCTAGACTTGGAAGGGACCCCGAGGGTCATCCAGTCCAACCCCCGGCAACGCAGCGCTCTTTTACCTCACGTGGGACTCGAACCCGTGACCCCAAGATTAAGAGTCCCCATCTAAACCAAAAGTACTGATCAGGGAGCGACCTGGGGCTGCTGGGCTGCGTGCAGGGGGTCCTGCCTTCCGGCTAAGGCTCACCCAAGACAGTTCTAGGAGCGGGGACAGAAATAAGAGCATTTTGGCCTCTGCAATCCCCTCTCAGTTCGCATGGAGCAGGAGGCGAAAGAGGGAGATGCTGCGCAGCCTCACGCACTTCCAGTGTAAAACTGCCTTAAGCCCCATCAAGGTTGTCAGGAGGAGAATTTGGCCCTTTTCAAAACCGAGGAGATCTTCTTCGTTTGTTTCCTGAAAGTTGTCCTCCACTGGACCATTCAAGAAACTAACCTCAAAGCAGAATGGTAAGAATATCAGTAAAAGGAATACCATCAGCAAAATGGAAAATGTACAGTTACTTTATGATGCTTTGAAATTCGAACTTCAACATACTTAGTATGTTAGTAGTCTTACACCTTAGTTTTTTTCCTTTCCTACTTTTGTTTTGTTTTTCTTACTTATCCTGCATAAAGTGATATTGCAAAAGGCTGAATTGATTTACAGTGTTTTTCTAACTTGGAGTTTTTTGTATGCACTGCTTTGATTTTCAACAAATGAACTTTTTAAATGGGGAAGGAGGTAGGATTTTTCACATTCCAAGGATTTTTGGGAGGCTTTTTGTCCTGCATGATGAAAAATGTTATGTTTCAGAGGTGAGGACTGAAGGGAATATTTTGCTCATGGCTTAAAACATTTTTGAATTCTCCACCTCAATGTACTCTTTGGTGGCGGAGAAGCAACAGGAAGAAGTTTTTATTAATTTAAGCAAAGAGAAGGCAAATAAGCAGTCTTAACTTTTTTTAAAAAATAATCTTTACTGAAAGTTGAAAAAGTACAAAATTATACGTGCACTAAACATGGTGACAAGTAAATAAGAGAGAGAGAAAAAGAAACAGAAACTGTGTAAGAGGGGGAAATAAAGGGGGGGGAGGTGGAAAAACCCCAAACTATATTTTACAAGGTTGTTATTGTACTTCACCAGACCTTAACCTATTACAATATTTGTAAAAATGGATCTGAAATATCATTGAACTTGTCCATGGCAAGTCTGTATTTATATCCAAGTTGTTTATATGTTGCGAGTTTGTATAACTTTCCAATCCAATCTTAGAAGGGAGCCACATTTTTATTTTTCCCATGCATCAGTATCAGTCCTTTTGCTGCAGTCAGGGCACGGAGAGTCCACTCGTATAGTCCTTTTGTAAGGTTCCATGTGCTGGGTATATAATTCAAGAGGATATTTTTCTCAGTAAATGTAAGGTTCTTCCATAAAGTTCTGTTGATAGTTTCAGTTATAGGACAATGAAAAAACGTATGTTTTAGAGAAGCATTATCCCTAGTGCATCTCCAACAGTTAAATACCTGAAACAGCCCTTTTTAAAACAAAGGTAATGTGGTCCAGTATATTCTAAATATTCTAGCAGTCTAACATCTATGTTCCATACTCACTAATGAGGGACACTTAGGATACAAGATCAAAAGGATATTATGGAGATAACTGCAAAAGCAAAGTTCACGGTTCATCTCATTTGCAGCAGAGACCCCGGGAGCAGGAGATCCTTCCCTTCCCTCTACAGGGCCAACGTTGACATTCACCAGCAGAACTCGAATGAGGGACTTAGAGAGCTGCTGTCGCTGAGCCCTTATATAGAGGATTTTAAACACGATCTAATAGCAGGTGGGCTCTTTAAGTTCTGTTGCCATCCTCCATTATCTTTATGGTTGGCACAGAGCAAAGTTACTCCCTCTGTTCCCAGCGGTGAGCAAAAGTCTATGTCTAACTGCCAATTCCATGGTTGGGTCAAGACAGGCCTGTCCGCTAGTTAACTCCTTATCAGGCCAGCTGTCTAGACCTCTGGTTGATGCCAAGTTCTCATACAGATAAATTCATGGAGAAGCCCTCGTTATATGTACAGATAGAGTTAAAAGGATTTAAAGCTACCATTACATCGAGATCAGGAGACACCACCTTCTAAAAATTTTCCGGCAATACACATACTCAGAGCGTTGGTGTGGTTTCTCTCCTGTGTGGACTCCCTGAGGCAGCCCCAGCCTGCCCCTTCCAGGCCAAACATTTCCCGCACTCGAAACATTAATGGGTTTCCCATTTTTATGGATTCTCTGGTGCCTTTGAAGGTCCGAATGAGCAGCAGTTCATTTCCCACACTCCAGACACTTGCATTGTATTTCCTTCGTGGAGTCTCCAATGTTGATAAAAGGTTCCTTTCTTTACAAAGCATTCCCCGCACTCCCAACATTTATATGCTTTCTATTCCATATGGAGTCTCTGGTGTTTTCTAAGGTTCCCACTCTGTGAAAACCATTTCCCACACTCTACACATTGGTAAGGCCTCTCTCCTGTGTGACCTAGCAGGGCAGCAGTTGAAGAAGGAGCAAAAAGGGTTTTCTTGTGTGTTTCTTTGTGGCTGATTAGCTGTTCTCCCTGTGCAAAGGTCAGAGGGGGCAGGGTTTCTGTTGAGGCAGGGGATTAGCTGTGGGAGGAGCTTATCAGACCTAGCAGGGCAGCGGCGCGCGCCTAACGGCGTGCGCAGTTTGATCCGTCTTTTAGATTTAGGGGAGCTAGTCTCAAACATTTGTTGGGGAAGACCTAGGTGTTTTTCTTGTGGGGGGAGTTATTTGTCCTGTCTTCACGCTTTTTATGATGGAGGACCGCTGTAGCCACCCCCAACGACACGTTCTCAAGATGGAGGGGGAGGGAACAGCTGCAGTCGCCTGCGGTTCCTGCGCAATGTTTGCCATCTTGCCAAAGGTTGCAGGATAACAGCCCAGAATAACTAAGGAGATAGTACAAGAATACTTGGCTAGTTTAGATGTATTCAAGTCTCCAGGGCCAGATGAACTGCATCCAAGAGTATTAAAAGAACTGGCAGATGTGATCTCAGAACCACTGGCAGTCATCTTTGAGAATTCCTGGAGAACAGGCGAAGTCCCGGCAGACTGGAGGAGGGCAAATGTTGTCCCTATTTTCAAAAAGGGGAAAAGAGAGGACCCAAATAATTACCGCCCAGTCAGTCTGACATCAATACCAGGGAAGATTCTGGAGCAGATCATTAAGCAAACAGTCTGTGAGCACCTAGAAAGGAATGCTGTGATCACCAACAGTCAGCATGGATTTCTGAAAAATAAGTCATGTCAGACTAACCTGATCTCATTTTTTGACAGAATTACAAGCCTGGTAGATGAAGGGAACGCAGTGGATGTAGCCTACCTTGATTTCAGCAAGGCATTTGACAAGGTGCCCCATGATATTCTTGTAAAGAAGCTGGTAAAATGCGGTCTTGACTATGCTACCACTCAGTGGATTTGTAACTGGCTGACTGACCGAACCCAAAGGGTGCTCATCAATGGTTCCTCTTCATCCTGGAGAAGAGTGACTAGTGGGGTGCCACAGGGTTCTGTCTTGGGCCCGGTCTTATTCAACATCTTCATCAATGACTTGGATGATGGACTCAAGGGCATCCTGATCAAATTTGCAGATGACACCAAACTGGGAGGGGTGGCTAACACCCCAGAGGACAGGATCACACTTCAAAACAACCTTGACAGATTAGAGAACTGGGCAAAAGCAAACAAGATGAATTTTAACAGGGAGAAATGTAAAGTATTGCACTTGGGCAAAAAAAATGAGAGGCACAAATACAAGATGGGTGACACCTGGCTTGAGAGCAGTACATGTGAAAAGGATCTAGGAGTCTTGGTTGACCACAAACTTGACATGAGCCAACAGTGTGACGCGGCAGCTAAAAAAGCCAATGCAATTCTGGGCTGCATCAATAGGAGCATAGCATCTAGATCAAGGGAAGTAATAGTGCCACTGTATTCTGCTCTGGTCAGACCTCACCTGGAGTACTGTGTCCAGTTCTGGGCACCACAATTCAAGAAGGACACTGACAAACTGGAACGTGTCCAGAGGAGGGCAACCAAAATGGTCAAAGGCCTGGAAACGAGGTCTTATGAGGAACGGCTAAGGGAGCTGGGCATGTTTAGCCTGGAGAAGAGGAGGTTAAGGGGTGATATGATAGCCATGTTCAAATATATAAAAGGATGTCACATAGAGGAGGGAGAAAGGCTGTTTTCTGCTGCTCCAGACAAGCGTACACGGAGCAATGGATTCAAACTACAAGAAAGAAGATTCCACCTAAACATTAGGAAGAACTTCCTGACAGTAAGAGCTGTTCGACAGTGGAATTTGCTGCCAAGGAGTGTGGTGGAGTCTCCTTCTTTGGAGGTCTTTAAGCAGAGGCTTGACAACCATATGTCAGGAGTGCTCTGATGGTGTTTCTTGCTTGGCAGGGGGTTGGACTCGATGGCCCTTGTGGTCTCTTCCAACTCTATGATTCTATGATTCTATGATTCTATGACTTTCTGGTGTCTGTGAAGATGTTGTTACCGAGAAAAACATTTCTCACGCTCCAAGTATTTGTAGGCTTTCCCTCCTGTGTGGGCTCTCTGGTGCTCCTTAAGGGATTTTGTTTCTCTCCATTTATAGGATTGACTTATTGTGTGAATTCCCTGGTGTTTTGAAAGACTCCCTTTCTGACGTGGATCCTTAGATGCATGTTAAGCTCTGATTTTATAGCAAAGGGTTTTTCACACTCCAAGCATTTATGGAGTTTCTCTCCTATGTGGATCCTCTGATGGGAGACAAGGGTGTCTCTTCTTGAAAAACATTTCCCACACTCCAAGCATTTGTAGGGTTTCTCTCCTGTGTGGGTTCTTTGGTGCCCCCTAAGGCTTTGTGCTAAAGTAAAGGACATTCCACAGTCTAAACATTTATATGGCTTTTCTCCTGTGTGGACTCTTTTATGAGAAATAAGATGTGATGAAGTGGAAAAACATTTCCCACACTCTCCACATTCATATGGTCTCACTCCTGTGTGGATTCTCTGGTGTACATGAAGGTGTGATTTGTTGGTAAAACATTTTCCACACTCCACGCATTTGTAGGGTTTCTGCCCAGTGTGGATTTTTTCATGCTGCTTGAGGTGTTGTTTCTGGGAAAAGCATTTTCCACACTCCACGCATTTGTAGGGTTTCTCTCCCGTATGGATTCTCTGGTGGATTGCAAGATGTGATGCTGAAATAAAACATTTCCCACACTCCGCACATTTATGAGGCCTCTCCCCTGTGTGCACAGTCTGATGGCTCAGAAGTTCAGCTTTCTCATGAAAACATTTCCCACACTCTCTACATTCATAGGGTTTCTCTCCTGTGTGGATTCTCTGGTGTCGCCTGAGACTTCCATTTGTGGGGAAACATTTGCCACACTCCAGACACTTATGGGGCCTTTCTCCTGTGTGGGTTTTCTGATGGCTTACAAGGCCGGAACGGCAAGTAAACTTTTTTCCACATTCAAAGCATTTATACCGTTTCTCCCCTGTGTGAACCAACCGATGGCTCCAAAGCTGTGCGTTTTGAGGGAAACATTTCCCACACTCCCAGCATTCATAGGGCTTCTCTCCTGTGTGGAGCCTCCGATGGATTACAAGGCCTGACTTGTGAGCAAATGATTTCCCACACTCTGGGCATTCATAGGGTTTTTCTCCAGTGTGGGTTCGCTGATGGGAAACAAGTTTTGACCTAACCAAAAAGCATAACCCACAAACACTGCATTTGTGGGGCTTCTCTCCTGTGTGGACTTTATGGTGTCCATGAAGCTGTGATCTCTTGGGGAACCCGATCCTACTCTTGCCATATTTGTGGGGTTTCTCCCCTGTGTGGCCTCTTTCATGTTTCACAAAATCTGAGAGCTGGGAAAAACCTTCCCCACACTCCAAGCAGCGATATGGCTTATCTCCTCCTGCATGGACATTCCGGTGGATCAGAACGATGGGCTGATGAGCAAGAACCTTCCTGAACTCCAAAGACACAGGGGTTTCCAAAGGGCTCACAATCTCTGAACTCTGACCAAAACATTCCCCACGCTCAGAGCTTTCCTGGATCTTCTCCCCTGTGTGTATTCTCTGGTGTCTAGCAAGAGCCAAACTGAAGGCAAAGCATTGGCCACTCTCTGGGCAGAAGTGTTTCCTCCTTGAAATACCTGCTGAGAGAGTGAAGAAAGTGGAATCAGGGTTTGAAGATGGCAGAGAAGTAGCTTCAGAATCCAGACTGAAATCATTGGATCAGATGATGCGTGAGAGACGGAGGCCGTACCACTTCTCCCCCTCCCCCCTCCCCCCGCCCACAACACCCACTGCATAAGGTATAACCAGTGGAAGCGCTTTTTAAAAATGAAGTAACAGAGAACATTCTTCTTGCCATTTCTTCGCAAAGAAGGAGAAACTCTGAACGGACTCGGCATCCCACCCAAACTGCCTCACCTGAGCTGGTGTCCAAAATGGCAGCCCCTGTTCCGTCTGAGATCTGATATTGTGGCGTCCTGGGCTCTTCCGCTTGCTCTGCGCTGGCGACGAGGCTGGTCTTGGGAAGCGGCAGTGCTATGCGGGAAAGAAGGAAGAAGAAGGGAGAAGAGGAGGAAGTGGAAGAAGATGAAGAAGAAGAAGAAGAAGAAGAAAAAGAAGAAGTGAGAAGGAGAAAGCATGGAGGAAGCATTCAGCCTTATGGTCTAAACTATCCCCAATGACCGCTCATCGAGGACCCATAACTAAACAGTACCTTGGGTTAGGGGGCTGCACATTTGCGGGGGGCAAGGTGGTCCTTTGCTCTGTGCTGGAAGGAGAAGGGAGGACGGCTGAAGATGGCTGCAGGGTGGGGGGTCAGGACTGCACTGCCAGGACCCCAGGGAGGGGACTCGGTTGGCACTTCTGGAGTATTGCTGTTACGCTGGTGGGAGTCCCTCACATGCCAGCAAACCCGTTTTGCACAGCTAGAGTGCAGCGCAGTGGTTAAAGTGCCCGACTAGGACCTGGGAAGCTAATACTTTTTGATTTGAACCCCACCCATCTGACTGGGTCACCCCACCCACTCTGGGCAGCTTCCAGAACATATAAAAACATAATAAAATGTCCAACATTAAAAACTTCCTGATACAGGGCTCCTAAAGGTTATATAGTTATTTATTTCCTTGATATATGACGGGAGGGTGTTTCACAGGAGGGCACCACTACAAAGAAGGTCCTCTGCTTGGTTCCCTATCGCTTCACTTCTCACGTTGAGGGAACCAGCAGAAGCCCCTCAGAGCTGGACCTCAGTGTCCTGGCTAAATGATGGGATGTAGATGCTCCTTAGGTATATGGGGCCCAGGCCGTTTAGGGCTTCTTGTGGGGATTAAATGAGGGGGAGACCCGTGTGCCCCACATTGCACTCCTTGGAGGGGGAAAGGTTGGGATCAAAATGGATGGCATTAAGAATAAAGTACATTTGCAGCTCTTGTGCAACAAATCTGCTCCCCACCTACCCCTCCACCCCAAAAGAAGAGTGAGAAGAAAATGTCCCGGAAGGACTGCTTCAGACTCAAGGAAAGAGGCTCCTTACCCAGAGAGGCCATGTTCCTCTCATTGTCCAGCATGGCCTCCCTTGCTCTTCAGACAACGTCCAGCAGGGAGGGCCCTTTCGACCCTAGAGAAATAAACAGACATATCCTCAAAGGTTAGCGATCTCTGTAATGTCAAAACGCCCTCAGCAAAAACTGCAGCGCCTCAGGAACGAATGCCTTTGGTGGCAAGTGAGGAGAGAATCTCCGTCTTCCCCATAGATCCTTGCAACTACATTCTATTATTATTATTATTATTATTGATTTTCTTGGGTTAACAAAAAAGTGCACAAGTTGTCTCCGTTTTCAAATCATAAAAGTTCTTTCTTCCGATCCTTTATCTTCAATGTGAGACTTTAATGCTCTATACTGGACTTTTGCCACTACTGTCGCGATGTTACCGGAAAAACCCGAGGGCTCCCTTGGACGAAACAAAGACACCAGCCAGAGCAATTCAGAGCAAAACAGCAGCCAGTAGGCTTGGTCTTTATTAAGAGAAGACTGTCGCGACAGGACTCCCACCGCCCATGAGGTGAAGCAACATGGAAGCCCCGAACAAAAGAGAACCCAAAATTTTATTAGTTGCTAATCCCCTTGGCTACACCCTCAAAATTACATCATATTTACATCATGATTATATTATGAACAGGAGGAGTCAGGGGAGGGGTCCGGCAGGTAATCCGAATCCCCCCACACCTGGGCAGTGCCCCTCTCCCTCTTTCCCGTAAGTCATTTTGGAAGACAAAGGAAAAGGGCGCAGTTTCCTGCCCCCTGGGGAAATCTGGTCACAGTTCCCTTTGTCTTAGTTGTGGCGGAATACACTATCCCATGCAAAGTATTGTGTCCTATGCCGGTTTCTGTCTGGACCCATCAAGCAGGTCATCAAGGAAAAAGGTCAGTTGGGAGGGGGCGCTGAGTACGTGTTCGCTCGGTCGGGGGATTATGGCTGGTGGGTGCCAGATCACCCCCCCCCCTTTGATAGTCCTTTATTCATGGGGCAAAATAAAAGTGGTCCGATGAGAATCCGATGTACGGCTGATTTTTGGTGAATTTCTGAAGAGAAGGCTTTGAAGTCTGAAGTATTTTCCAAGCTTCGGAAACAATGTAGCAAGACTTGATTAAATCAGTCACGGTCAATATAATTCGGAAACATTGTATCAGCGAGCTGTCAAAGTGGGAAAATAGTGGATACCGGCTGCAGTACCAGCGTAGCCGCCGCCAGGGGCGCTGTTTGGCAATGCTGATTGGCTGAAACGGTAGCTGATTGACCTGGAGTTCGGGCGGCCGGTCTTCTCACAATAAAGATAGGGCGAAGTGGAGCGTCGGAGGGAATGCAAGAAAAGGGGTTCAGCGCTTCCTTATTTACGGAAGGCTATCATTCCTTGGGGAGATGCCCCTCTAGAGGGGACGTTGCCAGGCTCGGGGGTGGTGTGTGTGTGTGTGTGTGGTGCTTGTGGAGTACGATGTAGTGAAAAGGGGGGGGGGGGGTTCCTGCTACAGCGACACGTTACTATGTCAGCTGCAGTGTGTAGTTGTGGCGTTTAAACACTCCCCACTTCCTGCCGGGCTGGAAAGGAATTAGTTTAACCTCTGGTTTGCTAGGGAAACCGAATTACTGCGTCACAAATAATGCACGTCTAAAAAATGTGTCAGCCACCTGAAAAGTTTGGAAAGCTCTCCTGCTTGCAGTATAAGGTTTGGGGGGAGAGAGAAAGGGGATAGTAGACTTTCATTCTTTTACACAGTGGATGTGCAAGGTTTTTGTTTCAGCGCCACGTGGGAAAGTTCTTTTTCTATGCATTTAATAGTTTTCATTGGCACTGAAAAAAAATCTTTGATAAAAAATTAAGGTTTTTTTTTACATATTTGTAAAAAAAACCAAACTAAAAAACTTTGGGGTTTGTTTTTTAAAAATCTCAGCTTTCAGAGTGTTCTGTTTTTTACTTTTTGCAACCCAAGGTCGGGTCCCCAGCCTATGGCTGTTTCCTGGGGTTGACCGCAGTGAACAAATTAGAGTTAATAATAATAAAAAAGGTAAGGACCCCAGGATGGTTAAGTCCAGAATGGATATACAGTGGTACCTCAGGTTAAGTACTTAGTTCGTTCCGGAGGTCCGTTATTAACCTGAAACTATTCTTAACCTGAAGACCACTTTAGTTAATGGGGCCTCCTGCTGCCGCCGTGCCGCCAGAGCACGATTTCTGTTCTTATCCTGAAGGAAAGTTCTTAACCTGAAGCAGTATTTCTAGGTTAGCGGAGTGTGTAACCTGTAGCGTATGTAACCTGAAGCGTATGTAACCTGAGGTACCACTGTAATATAAGTACCATTTCAGATTTGTAAGGGAATAAGAAAACACCATGGCAGGGTGGATGGGAAGTCAACGGATATGAGAGAGTAGTTATAACTGTATTTTAAAAGAATTTGTAATATTTGAAAATTAAATATTTCCAAAAAAATAAATAAAAGAGATTGGAGAGTAGCCTTAGCTCATTTGGCAGAGCAGATCCCCCCAAGTCCAATTCGTGATCTATCTAAGAGAGGCTGGGAAAAGACCCCCGTCTAATACCAAGAAGCACTGCTAGTCCAGAGTGGCAATGTGGTGTAGTGGTTAGAGTTCTGTGCTGAGACCTGGGAGTTCGGGGTTCAAATCCCCACCTGGCCATGAAGCCCACTGGGTGATCTTGGTGCCGGTCACTGTCTCTCAGCCTGGCCTCCCTCACAGGGATGTTGTGGGGAAGAAATGGGGAGATGGGGAACATGCAAACTACCTTGAGTTCTTCGCAGGATCGGTGGGGTATGAATGCAAGGAAGTAAAATACACACAACCCATGGGATACATTCCAGCCGCACGGAAAACAGAGGTCTATTTACATGCAACCACAACTCCAGACAAAGAGGTCAGGGGAACGATCGATGGCATATTCTAGCCAGGCAAAAGCACCTGACTTAGAGCAGGGCTGAAGCACCCTAGGGAGAAGGGGCTGGCATGGGGGGGGGGAATGAGGAATCCAGCTAGACCCCCATTTGGCCCCAGGATCTGAGATTTCCACACACCCCATCCCCATGATATACAGGACACTTCGGAACACTTTAAAATATTCAGGGGGACACTCCAATTGCAAACTTTTTTCTTTCTTAAAAAGGGGATTATAATGTTATCTGATTTTTCTTAATGTCCAGATTTTTTAAATTAAAAATATGCACAATCTACCACCAAGCTTTCATTTCATTTCATTTTTTGTCAGTTATTTTTATAGGCTTTATACAAATTAATACCATTTGGCACTCCATTCTTGGCGCATATTTATCATCTACTATTACTACGTTTCATATTCATATTTATCTCTGGTTACCATTGCCTTTTACATAATTTTACATTTTATCATTTCATTTCAAAGCTTTCCATGAGGAATAAGCAAGTGAAAGAGATCCCTTCTTCTGCTCTCGAGAATCCCCCCTTCCTCCTCTTTCCCCCCGATGCAACGTGCAAACTTATCCGTGCAATGGGAAAAGCCAAAATGGCTCATCTTTCCCGCCGCCCTTTCCTGCCCCGCCCCCTCACCGGCATTCACGTGTTGCAGGGTTCCGACGGTGCCCTCTCACCCGTGGAGAGCTGCTTGCGAAGGGCGCCTCTGCCAGCAAAGACTCCTTCCTGCTCCCACCTTCAGCCTCCCCTGCAAAACCTCTTTGCACCCCAGAGATCGCGATGGCCGGACGCCTCCTGCAAAAGCCCCACACAAATGGGGGCTGGCCAGAGGAAACAGGCACCTCTTGAGACGTCCTGCCCCTTCGCTTCTTCCCTTTTCCCAGACGCAAAGGATTCTGGGATTTGTAGTCTGTTCCTCTGTGAGGGGGGGGGAAAGAGTTCCTTTAGGGCGGCTCTGGGGAAGGGTCTCCTTTATTTTTATTTTCCCTTTTTATTTGCTCACCTACTGGCACACCTCTCTGCACCGCCTAACACGTGGCAGTGGTGCCCGGCAAAAAGAATGAGAAGATGAAACCAACTTGCACGTCAACGTGGTGGGATTCTAGACTTGGAAGGGACCCGAGGGTCATCCAGTCCAACCCCCGGCAACGCAGCGCTCTTTTACCTCACGTGGGACTCGAACCCGTGACTATGGCATTAAGCGTCTCATGCCCCCATCTAAACCAAAAGTACTGACCAGGGAGCGACCTGGGGCTGCTGGCGGCCTCTCAAGCTGCCCCACCTCACAGGGTTGTTGTGATGGTGGCTGTGGAAGCGGAGAGCAGCAGAGGCCGCCCTGAGCCCCTTGGGGAAAAGGCGGGAGAGGAGAAATGGAGCTGGGCTGCGTGCAGGGGGGTCCTGCCTTCCGGCTAAGGCTCACACAACAGAAATAAGACAGAAATAAGAGTATTTTGGCCTCTGCAATCCCCTCTCAGTTCGCATGGAGCAGGAGGCGAAAGAGGGAGATGCCGGGCAGCCTCACGCACTTCCAGTGTAAAACTGCCTTAAGCCCCATCAAGGTTGTCAGGAGGAGAATTTGGCCCTTTTCAAAACCGAGGAGATCTTCTTCGTTTGTTTCCTGAAAGTTGTCCTCCACTGGACCATTCAAGAAACTAACCTCAAAGCACAATGGTAAGAATATCAGTAAACGGAATACCATCAGCAAAATGGAAAATGTACATTTGTTTATGATGCTTTGAAATTCAAACTTCAACATACTTAGTATGTTAGTAGTCTTACTCTTTAGTTTTTTCTTTCCTTCCTTTAATTTTTTGTTTTGTTTTTCTTACTTATCTTGCATAAAGTGAGATTGTAAAAGGCTGAATTCACTGAGAGTGTTTTTCTGACTTGGAGTTTTTTGTATGCACTACTTTGATTTTCAATAAATGAAATTTTTAAAATGGGGAAGGAGGTAGGATTTTTCACATTCCAAGGATTTTTGGGAGGCTTTTTGTCCTGCATGATGAAAAATGTTATGTTTCAGAGGTGAGGAGTGAAGGGAATATTTTGCTCATGGCTTAAAACATTTTTGAATTCTCTACCTCAATGTACTCTTTGGTGGCGGAGAAGCAACAGGAAGAAGTTTTTATTAATTTAAGCAAAGAGAAGGCAAATAAGCAGTCTAACTTTCTTAAAAAAACAATCTTTATTGAAAGTTGAAAAAGTACAAAATTATATGTGCACTAAACATGGTGAGACGTAAATAAGAGAGAGAGAAAAAGAAACAGAAACTGTGTAAGAGGGGGAAATAAAGGGGGGAGAGGTGGAAAAACCCCAAACTATATTTTACAAGATTGTTATTGTACTTCACCAGACCTTAACCTATTACAATATTTGTAAAAACGGATCCAAAATGTCATTGAACTTGTCCATGGCAAGTCTGCATTTATATGCAAGTCGTTTATATGTTGTGAGTTTGTATAACTTTCCAATCCAATCGTAGAAGGGAGCCGCATTTTTATTTTTCCAATTCATCAGTATCAGTCCTTTTGTTGCGGTCAGGGCATGGAGAGTCCACCCGTATACAGTGGTACCCCGCAAGACGAATGCCTCGCAAGATGAAAAACCCGCTAGACCAGGGGTCTGCAACCCGCGGCTCCGGAGCCGCATGTGGCTCTTTTACATCTTTGCCGCGGCTCCGGGGCGGATACTAGCGAGGGGAGGAGGCGCATTGTACGCCCCGACACTCCCCACTGTGGCGGGCGCTGTACTGGCTGTGACGTCGCATGGGGGCAGTGCGTGCGTTAGTCACGCACCGTCCCGACGTCACCTTCCCGCCCGCTGTCAGATCGCGGCTTCGGAGATATATTTGTTTTAAATGTCGCAATGGTTTTGCGGCTCCCAGTTTTTTTCCCCTTCGGAAACGGGTCCAAGTGGCTCTTTTTGTCTTAAAGGTTGCAGACCCCTGCGCTAGACGAAAGGGTTTTCCGTTTTTGAGTTGCTTTGCAAGATGAATTTCCCTATGGGCTTGCTTCGCAAGACGAAAACGGCTTGCGAGTCTTGCGATTTTTTCCCGCTTCCCCCCCCTTTTTCTAAGCCGCTAAGCCGCTAATAGCCTTTTAGCCGCTAAGCCTTTAATAGCCGCTAAGCCGCTAATAGCGCTAATCCGCTAATAGGGTTGCTTCGCAAGACGAAAAAACCGCTAGACAAAGAGACTTGCGGAACGGATTGTTTTCGTCTTGCGAGGCACCACTGTAGTCCTTTTGTAAGGTTCCATGTGCTGGGTATATAATTCAAGAGGATATTTTGCTCAGTAAATATAAGGTTGTTCCGTACAGTTCTGTTCATAGTTTCAGATATAGGACAATGAAAAAACTTATGTTTTAGAGAAGCATTATCCCTAGTGCATCTCCAACAGTTAGATACCATAGCCCTTTTTAAAACAAAGGTAATGGGGTCCAGTATATTCTAAATATTACTCTAGCAGTCTAACATCTATGTTCCATACTCAGTAATGAGGGGCACTTAGGATACAAGATCAAAAGGATATTATGGAGATAACTGCAAAAGCGAAGTTCACGGTTCATCTCATTTGCAGCAGAGACCCCGGGAGCAGGAGATCCTTCCCTTCCCTCTATAGGGCCAACGTTGACATTCACCAGCAGAACTCGAACGAGGAACTTAGAGAGCTGCTGTCGCTGAGCCCTTATATAGAGGATTTTAAACACGATCTAATAGCAGGAGGGCTCTTTAAGTTCTGTTGCCATCCTTCCTTATCTCCTCCGTTGGCACAAAGCAAAGTTACTCCCTCTGTTCACAGCGGTGAGCCAAAGTCTATGTCTAATTGCCAATTCCATGGCTGGGTCAAGACAGGTCTGTCCGCTAGTTGACTCCTTATCAGGGCAGCTGTCTAGACCTCTGGTTGATGCCAAGTCCTCATCATACAGATAAATTCATGGGAAAGTCCTCATTATATGTACAGATAGAGTTAAAAGGATTTAAAGCTACCATTACATTGAGATTAGGAGACACCGCTTTCTGAAATTATCTGGCAATACACATACTCAAAGTACATTTGTGGTTTCTCTCCTGTGTGGACTCCCTGAGGCAGCACCAGCCTGCCCCTTCCAGGCAAAACATTTCCCACACTCGAAACATTAATGGGTTTCCTTTTATTGTGGATTCTCTGGTGCCTTTGAAGGTCCGAATGAGCAGCAATTCATTTCCCACACTCCTGACACTTGCATTGAATTTCCTTCGTGGAGTCTCCAGTGCTGATAAAAGATTCCTTTCTTTACAAAGCATATTCCACACTCCTAATGTCTGTCCGTCCTCCTTTTGGGATGGACACTCTGGTGTGCCACGAGGGCTGACCACTGATCAAAATATTCCCCACACTCCCAACATTTATATGCTCTTTATTCCACATGGAGTCTTTGAAGGTTTCCACCTTCAACATTTCCCACACTCTACACATTGGGAAGTTCTCCTCCTCTGTGGACTTTCTGGTGTTTGTGAAGATATTGTGACTGAGAAAAACATTTCCCACACTCCAAGCACCTGTAAGGTTTCTCTCCTGTGTGGATCCTCTGGTGGATCACAAGGCGTGACTTCCGAGGAAATGATTTCTCACACTCCAAGCATTTATAGGGTTTCTCTCCTGTGTGGATCCTCTGGTGGATCACAAGGGGTGACTTCTGAGGAAATGATTTCTCACACTCCAAGCATTTATAGGGTTTCTCTCCTGTGTGGATCCTCTGGTGGATCACAAGGTGTGACTTCTGAGGAAATGATTTCTCACACTCCAAGCATTTATAGGGTTTCTCTCCTGTGTGGATCCTCTGATGGATCACAAGGGGTGACTTCTGAGGAAATGATTTCTCACACTCCAAGCATTTATAGGGTTTCTCTCCTATGTGGATCCTCTGATGGGAGACAAGGGTGTCTCTTCTTGAAAAACATTTCCCACACTCCAAGCATTTGTGGGGTTTCTCTCCTGTGTGGATCCTCTGGTGCCCCCTAAGACTATGTGCTAAAGTAAATGACATTCCACAGTCTAAACATTTATGTGGCTTTTCTCCTGTGTGGACTCTCTTATGAATAATAAGATGTGATGAAGAGGAAAAACATTTCCCACACTCTCCACATTCATATGGTCTCACTCCTGTGTGGATTCTCTGGTGTACATGAAGGTGTGATTTGCTGGTAAAACATTTTTCACACTGCACGCATTTGTAGGGTTTCTCCCCAGTGTGGATTTTTTCGTGCTGCTTGAGGTGTTGTTTCTGGGAAAAGCATTTTCCACATTCCATGCATTTGTAGGGTTTCTCTCCTGTATGGATTCTCTGGTGGATTGCAAGATGTGATGGTACAAGAAAACATTTCCCACACTCCACACATTTATGAGGCCTCTCCCCGGTGTGCACAGTCTGATGGCTCAGAAGTTCACCTTTCTCATGAAAACATTTGCCACATTCTCTACATTCATAGGGTTTCTCTCCTGTGTGGATTCTCTGGTGTCGCCTGAGACTTCTATTTGTGGGGAAACATTTGCCACACTCTAGACACTTATGGGGCCTTTCTCCTGTGTGGGTTTTCTGATGGGTTGCAAGGCTGGAATGGAAAGTAAACTTTTTTCCACATTCAAAGCATTTATATCGTTTCTCCCCTGTGTGAACCAACCGATGGCTCCAAAGATGTGTGTTTTGAGGAAAACATTTCCCACACTCCCAGCATTCATAGGGCTTCTCTCCTGTGTGGAGCCTCCAATGGACCACAAGGCCTGACTTTTGAGCAAATGATTTCCCACACTCTGGGCATTTATAGGGTTTTTCTCCTGTGTGGAGTCTCTGATGGACCACAAGGACTGATTTGTGAGCAAATGATTTTCCACACTCTGGGCATTTATAGGGTTTTTCTCCAGTGTGGGTTCGCTGATGGGTAACAAGTTTTGACCTAACAGAAAAGCATAACCCACACACACTGCATTTGTGGGGCTTCTCTCCTGTGTGGACTTTATGGTGTCCATGAAGCTGTGATCTCTTGGGGAACCCGATCCTACTCTCGGCATATTTGCGGGGTTTCTCTCCTGTGTGGCCTCTTTCATGTTTCACAAAATCTGAGAGTTGGGAAAAACCTTCCCCACACTCCAAGCAGCGATATGACTTATCTCCTCCTGCATGGACGTTCCGGTGGATCAGAACGATGGGCTGATGAGCAAGAACCTTCCTGAACTCCAAAGACATAGGGGTTTCCAAAGGGCTCACAAGCTCTGAACTCTGACCAAAACATTCCCCATGCTCAGAGCTTTCCTGGATCTTCTCCCCTGTGTGGATTCTCTGGTGTCTAGCAAGAGCCAATCTGAAGGCAAAGCACTGGCCACTCTCTGGGCAGAAGTGTTTCCTCCTCAAGTTTCCTGCAGAGAGAGTGAAGAAAGTGGAATCAGGGTTTGAAGATGGCTGAGAAGTAGCTTCAGAATCCAGACTGAAATCATTGGATCAGATGATGTGTGAGAGATGGAAGTCGTACCACTTCTCCCCCTCCCCCCGCCCACAACACCCACTGCATAAGGTATAACCAGTGAAAGAGCCTTTTAAAATGAAGTAACAGAGAACATTTTTCTTGCCCATTCTCAGCAAGGGAGGAGAAACACTGAACGGACTCGTCATCCCACCCAAACTGCCTCACCTGAGCTGGTGTCCAAAATGGCAGCCCCTGTTCCGTCTGAGATCTGATATTGTGGCGTCCTGGGCTCTTCCGCTTGCTCTGCGCTGGAGACGAGGCTCGTCTGGGGAAATGGCAGTGCTATGCGGGAAAGAAGGAAGAAGAAGGAAGAAGAGGAGAAAGAAGAAGTGAGGAAGCATTCGGCCTTATGGTCCAAACTATCCCCAAAGACCGCTCATCAAGAACCCGTAACTAAACAATACCTTGGGTTAGGGGGCTGGGTGTTTGTAGGGGGCGAGGTGGTCCTTTGCTCTGTGCTGGAAGGAGAAGGGAGGACGGGTGAAGATGGCTGCAGGGTGGGGGGTCAGGACTGCACTGCCAGGACCCCAGGGAGGGGACTCGGTTGGCACTTCTGGAGTATTGCTGTTACGCTGGTGGGAGTCCCTCACATGCCAGCAAACCCATTTTGCACAGCTAGAGTGCAGCGCAGTGGTTAAAGCGCCCGACTAGGACCTGGGAAGCTAATACTTTTTGATTTGAACCCCACCCATCTGACTGGGTCACCCCACCCACTCTGGGCAGCTTCCAGAACATATAAAAACATAATCAAATGTCCAACATTAAAAACTTCCTGATACAGGGCTCCTAAAGATTGTATAGTTATTTATTTCCTTGATATATGACGGGAGGGTGTTTCACAGGAGGGCGCCACTACAAAGAAGGTCCTCTGCTTGGTTCCCTATCGCTTCACTTCTCACGTTGAGGGAACCAGCAGAAGCCCCTCAGAGCTGGACCTCAGTGTCCTGGCTAAATGATGGGGTGTAGATGCTCCTTAGGTATATGGGGCCCCGGCCGTTTAGGGCTTCTTGTGGGCATTAAATGAGGGGGAGACCCATGTGCCCCACATTGCACTCCTTGGAGGGGGAAAGGTTGGGATCAAAATGGATGGCATTAAGAATAAAGTACATTTGCAGCTCTTGTGCAACAAATCTGCTCCCCACCTGCCCCTCCACCCCAAAAGAAGAGTGAGAAGAAAATGTCCCGGAAGGACTGCTTCAGACTCAAGGAAAGAGGCTCCTTACCCAGAGAGGCCATGTTCCTCTCATTGTCCAGCCTGGCCTCCCTTGCTCTTCGGACAACGTCCAGCAGGGAGGGCCCTTTCAACCCTAGAGAAATAAACAGACATATCCTCAAAGGTTAGCGATCTCTGTAATGACAAAATGCCCTCAGCAAAAACTACAGCGCCTCAGGAAAACCTTTGGTGGCAAGTGAGGAGAGAATCTCCGTCTTCCCCATAGATCCTTGCAACTACATTCTATTATTATTATTATTATTATTATTATTATTATTATTATTATTGATTTTCTTGGGTTAACAAAAAAGTGCACAAGTTGTCTCCGTTTTCAAATCATAAAAGTTCTTTCTTCCGATCCTTTATCTTCAATGTGAGACTTTAATGCTCTATACTGGACTTTTGCCACTACTGTCGCGATGTTACCGGAAAAACCCGAGGGCTCCCTTGGACGAAACAAAGACACCAGCCAGAGCAATTCAGAGCAAAACAGCAGCCAGTAGGCTTGGTCTTTATTAAGAGAAGACTGTCGCGACAGGACTCCCACCGCCCACGAGGTGAAGCAACATGGAAGCCCCGAACAAAAGAGAACCCAAAATTTTATTAGTTGCTAATCCCCTTAGTACACCCTCAAAATTACATCATATTTACATCATGATTATATTATGAACAGGAGGAGTCAGGGGAGGGGTCCGGCAGGTAATCCGAATCCCCCCACACCTGGGCAGTGCCCCGTCTCCCTCTTTCCCGTAAGTCATTTTGGAAGACAAGGAAAAGGGCGCAGTTTCCTGCCCCCTGGGGAAATCTGGTCACAGTTCCCTTTGTCTTAGTTGTGGCGGAATACACTATCCCATGCAAAGTATTGTGTCCTAGGCCGGTTTCTGTCTGGACCCATCAAGCAGGTCAGCAAGGGAAAAGGTCAGTTGGGAGGGGGCGCTGAGTACGTGTTCGCTCGGTCGGGGGATTATGGCTGGTGGGTGCCAGATCACCCCCCCCCCTTTGATAGTCCTTTATTCATGGGGCAAAATAAAAGTGGTCCGATGAGAATCCGATGTACGGCTGATTTTTGGTGAATTTCTGAAGAGAAGGCTTTGAAGTCTGAAGTATTTTTCCAAGCTTCGGAAACAATGTAGCAAGACTTTGATTAAATCAGTCACGGTCAATATAATTCGGAAACATTGTATCAGCGAGCTGTCAAAGTGGGAAAATAGTGGATACCGGCTGCAGTACCAGCGTAGCCGCCGCCAGGGGCGCTGTTTGGCAATGCTGATTGGCTGAAACGGTAGCTGATTGACCTGGAGTTCGGGCGGCCGGTCTTCTCACAATAAAGATAGGGCGAAGTGGAGCGTCGGAGGGAATGCAAGAAAAGGGGTTCAGCGCTTCCTTATTTACGGAAGGCTATCATTCCTTGGGGAGATGCCCCTCTAGAGGGGACGTTGCCAGGCTCGGGGGTGGTGTGTGTGTGTGTGTGTGGTGCTTGTGGAGTACGATGTAGTGAAAAGGGGGGGGGGGTTCCTGCTACAGCGACACGTTACTATGTCAGCTGCAGTGTGTAGTTGTGGCGTTTAAACACTCCCCACTTCCTGCCGGGCTGGAAAGGAATTAGTTTAACCTCTGGTTTGCTAGGGAAACCGAATTACTGCGTCACAAATAATGCACGTCTAAAAATGTGTCAGCCACCTGAAAAGTTTGGAAAGCTCTCCTGCTTGCAGTATAAGGTTTGGGGGGAGAGAGAAAGGGGATAGTAGACTTTCATTCTTTTACACAGTGGATGTTGCAAGGTTTTTGTTTCAGCGCCACGTGGGAAAGTTCTTTTTCTATGCATTTAATAGTTTTCATTGGCACTGAAAAAAATCTTTGATAAAAAATTAAGGTTTTTTTTTACATATTTGTAAAAAAAACCAAACTAAAAAACTTTGGGGTTTGTTTTTTAAAAATCTCAGCTTTCAGAGTGTTCTGTTTTTTTACTTTTTGCAAACCCAAAGGTCGGGTCCCCAGCCTATGGCTGTTTCCTGGGGTTGACCGCAGTGAACAAATTAGAGTTAATAATAATAAAAAAGGTAAGGACCCCAGGATGGTTAAGTCCAGAATGGATATACAGTGGTACCTCAGGTTAAGTTACTTAGTTCGTTCCGGAGGTCCGTTATTAACCTGAAACTATTCTTAACCTGAAGACCACTTTAGTTAATGGGGCCTCCTGCTGCCGCCGTGCCGCCAGAGCACGATTTCTGTTCTTATCCTGAAGGAAAGTTCTTAACCTGAAGCAGTATTTCTAGGTTAGCGGAGTGTGTAACCTGTAGCGTATGTAACCTGAAGCGTATGTAACCTGAGGTACCACTGTAATATAAGTACATTTCAGATTTGTAAGGGAATAAGAAAACACCAATGGCAGGGTGGATGGGAAGTCAACGGATATGAGAGAGTAGTTATAACTGTATTTTAAAAGAATTTGTAATATTTGAAATTAATATTTCCAAAAAAATAAATAAAAGAGATTGGAGAGTAGGCCTTAGCTCAATTTGGCAGAGCAGATCCCCCCAAGTCCAATTCGTGATCTATCTAAGAGAGGCTGGGAAAAACCCCCGTCTCATACCAAGAAGCACTGCCTAGTCCCAGAGTGGCCAATGTTGGTGTAGTGGCTTAGAGTTCTTGTGCTTGAGACCTGGGACGTTCGGGGTTCAAATCCCCACCTGGCCATGAAGCCCACTGGGTGATCTTGGTGCCGGTCACTGTCTCTCGAGCCTGGCCTCCCTCACAGGGGTATGTTGGTGGGGAACGAAATGGGGAGATGGGGAACATGCAAACTACCTTGAGTTCTTCGCAGGATCGGTGGGGTATGAATGCACAGGAAGTAAAATACCCACAACCCAATGGGGATTACCATTCCCAGCCGCACAGAACCAGAGGTCTATTCCATGCACACACCCCTCCAGCCTACGCAGGTCAGGGGGAAAAATCGATGGGCTTATTCTTCGCCAGGGCAAAAGCACCCGACTTAGAGCAGGGCTGAAACACCTAAGGAGAAGGGGCTGGCATGGCGGAGGGGGGGAATGAGGATCCAGCTAGGCCCCCATTTGGCCCCAGGATCTGAGATTTCCACACACCCCATCCCCAGGATATACAGGACATTCAGAACACTTTAAAAATATTGAGGGGGGGTGTAACTCCAATTGCAAACTTTTTTCTTTCTAAAAAGAGGATTCTAATGTTATCTGATTTTTTCTTAATGTCCAGATTTTTTAAATTAAAATATGCACAAATCTACCACCAAGCTTTCATTTCATTTTTTTGTCAGTTATTTTTATAGGCTTTATACAAATTAATACCATTTGGCCACTCCATTCTTGGCGCATATTTATCAATCTACTATTACTACGTTTCATATTCATATTTATCTCTGGTTACGCATTGCCTTTTACATAATTTTTACATTTTATCATTTCATTTCCAAAGCTTTCCATGAGGAATAGCAAGTGAAAGAGATCCCTTCTTCTGCTCTCGAAATCCCCCTTCCTCTCTTTCACCCCCGACGCAACGTGCAAACTTATCCGTGCAATGGGAAAAGCCAAAATGGCTCATCTTTCCCGCCGCCCTTTCCTGCCCCGCCCCTCACCGGGCATTCCACGTGTTGCAGGGTTCCGACGGTGCCCTCTCACCCGTGGAGAGCTGCTTGCGAAGGGCGCCTCTGCCAGCAAAGACTCTTCCTGCTCCCACCTCAGCCTCCCCTGCAAAACCTCTTTTGGCACCCCAGAGATCGCGATGCCGGACGCCTCCTGCAAAAGCCCACAACAAATGGGGGCTGGCCAGAGGAAACAGGCACCTCTTGAGACGTCCTGCCCCTTCGCTTCTTCCCTTTCCTCAGACGCAAAGGATTCTGGATTGTAGTCTGTTCCTCTGTGAGGGGGGGGGAAAGAGTTCTTTAGGGCGGCTCTGGGAAGGGTCTCCTTTATTTTTATTTTCCCTTTTTATTTGCTCACCTACTGGCACACCTCTCTGCACCGCCTAACACGTGGCAGTGGTGCCCGGCAAAAAAGAATGAGAAGATGAAACCCAACTTGCACGTCAACGTGGTGGGATTCTAGACTTTGGAAGGGACCCGAGGGTCATCCAGTCCAAACCCCGGACAACGCAGCACTCTTTTACCTCACGTGGGACTCGAACCCGTGACTAGGGCCATTAAGCGTCTCATGCCCCCATCTAAACCAAAAAGTACTGAGCAGGGAGCGACCTGGGGCTGCTGGCGGCCTCTCAAGCTGCCCCACCTCACAGGGTTGTTGTGATGGTGGCTGTGGAAGCGGAGAGCAGCAGAGGCCGCCATGATCCCCTTGGGGAAAAGGCGGGAGAGGAGAAATGGAGCTGGGCTGCGTGCAGGGGGGTCCTGCCTTCCGGCTAAGGCTCACACAACAGAAATAAGACAGAAATAAGAGTATTTTGGCCTCTGCAATCCCCTCTCAGTTCGCATGGAGCAGGAGGCGAAAGAGGGAGATGCCGGGCAGCCTCACGCACTTCCAGTGTAAAACTGCCTTAAGCCCCATCAAGGTTGTCAGGAGGAGAATTTGGCCCTTTTCAAAACCGAGGAGATCTTCTTCGTTTGTTTCCTGAAAGTTGTCCTCCACTGGACCATTCAAGAAACTAACCTCAAAGCACAATGGTAAGAATATCAGTAAACGGAATACCATCAGCAAAATGGAAAATGTACATTTGTTTATGATGCTTTGAAATTCAAACTTCAACATACTTAGTATGTTAGTAGTCTTACTCTTTAGTTTTTTCTTCCCTTCCTTTAATTTTTTGTTTTGTTTTTCTTACTTATCTTGCATAAAGTGAGATTGTAAAAGGCTGAATTCACTGAGAGTGTTTTTCTGACTTGGAGTTTTTTGTATGCACTACTTTGATTTTCAATAAATGAAATTTTTAAAATGGGGAAGGAGGTAGGATTTTTCACATTCCAAGGATTTTTGGGAGGCTTTTTGTCCTGCATGATGAAAAATGTTATGTTTCAGAGGTGAGGAGTGAAGGGAATATTTTGCTCATGGCTTAAAACATTTTTGAATTCTCTACCTCAATGTACTCTTTGGTGGCGGAGAAGCAACAGGAAGAAGTTTTTATTAATTTAAGCAAAGAGAAGGCAAATAAGCAGTCCTAACTTTCTTAAAAAAACAATCTTTATTGAAAGTTGAAAAAGTACAAAATTATATGTGCACTAAACATGGTGAGACGTAAATAAGAGAGAGAGAAAAAGAAACAGAAACTGTGTAAGAGGGGGAAATAAAGGGGGGAGAGGTGGAAAAACCCCAAACTATATTTTACAAGATTGTTATTGTACTTCACCAGACCTTAACCTATTACAATATTTGTAAAAACGGATCCAAAATGTCATTGAACTTGTCCATGGCAAGTCTGCATTTATATGCAAGTCGTTTATATGTTGTGAGTTTGTATAACTTTCCAATCCAATCGTAGAAGGGAGCCGCATTTTTATTTTTCCAATTCATCAGTATCAGTCCTTTTGTTGCGGTCAGGGCATGGAGAGTCCACCCGTATACAGTGGTACCCCGCAAGACGAATGCCTCGCAAGATGAAAAACCCGCTAGACCAGGGGTCTGCAACCCGCGGCTCCGGAGCCGCATGTGGCTCTTTTACATCTTTGCCGCGGCTCCGGGGCGGATACTAGCGAGGGGAGGAGGCGCATTGTACGCCCCGACACTCCCCACTGTGGCGGGCGCTGTACTGGCTGTGACGTCGCATGGGGGCAGTGCGTGCGTTAGTCACGCACCGTCCCGACATCACCTTCCCGCCCGCTGTCAGATCGCGGCTTCGGAGATATATTTGTTTTAAATGTCGCAATGGTTTTGCGGCTCCCAGTTTTTTTTCCCTTCGGAAACGGGTCCAAGTGGCTCTTTTTGTCTTAAAGGTTGCAGACCCCTGCGCTAGACGAAAGGGTTTTCCGTTTTTGAGTTGCTTTGCAAGATGAATTTCCCTATGGGCTTGCTTCGCAAGACGAAAACGGCTTGCGAGTCTTGCGATTTTTTCCCGCTTCCCCCCCTTTTTCTAAGCCGCTAAGCCGCTAATAGCCTTTTAGCCGCTAAGCCTTTAATAGCCGCTAAGCCGCTAATAGCGCTAATCCGCTAATAGGGTTGCTTCGCAAGACGAAAAAACCGCTAGACAAAGAGACTTGCGGAACGGATTGTTTTCGTCTTGCGAGGCACCACTGTAGTCCTTTTGTAAGGTTCCATGTGCTGGGTATATAATTCAAGAGGATATTTTGCTCAGTAAATATAAGGTTGTTCCGTACAGTTCTGTTCATAGTTTCAGATATAGGACAATGAAAAAACTTATGTTTTAGAGAAGCATTATCCCTAGTGCATCTCCAACAGTTAGATACCATAGCCCTTTTTAAAACAAAGGTAATGGGGTCCAGTATATTCTAAATATTACTCTAGCAGTCTAACATCTATGTTCCATACTCAGTAATGAGGGGCACTTAGGATACAAGATCAAAAGGATATTATGGAGATAACTGCAAAAGCGAAGTTCACGGTTCATCTCATTTGCAGCAGAGACCCCGGGAGCAGGAGATCCTTCCCTTCCCTCTATAGGGCCAACGTTGACATTCACCAGCAGAACTCGAACGAGGAACTTAGAGAGCTGCTGTCGCTGAGCCCTTATATAGAGGATTTTAAACACGATCTAATAGCAGGAGGGCTCTTTAAGTTCTGTTGCCATCCTTCCTTATCTCCTCCGTTGGCACAAAGCAAAGTTACTCCCTCTGTTCACAGCGGTGAGCCAAAGTCTATGTCTAATTGCCAATTCCATGGCTGGGTCAAGACAGGTCTGTCCGCTAGTTGACTCCTTATCAGGGCAGCTGTCTAGACCTCTGGTTGATGCCAAGTCCTCATCATACAGATAAATTCATGGGAAAGTCCTCATTATATGTACAGATAGAGTTAAAAGGATTTAAAGCTACCATTACATTGAGATTAGGAGACACCGCTTTCTGAAATTATCTGGCAATACACATACTCAAAGTACATTTGTGGTTTCTCTCCTGTGTGGACTCCCTGAGGCAGCACCAGCCTGCCCCTTCCAGGCAAAACATTTCCCACACTCGAAACATTAATGGGTTTCCTTTTATTGTGGATTCTCTGGTGCCTTTGAAGGTCCGAATGAGCAGCAATTCATTTCCCACACTCCTGACACTTGCATTGAATTTCCTTCGTGGAGTCTCCAGTGCTGATAAAAGATTCCTTTCTTTACAAAGCATATTCCACACTCCTAATGTCTGTCCGTCCTCCTTTTGGGATGGACACTCTGGTGTGCCACGAGGGCTGACCACTGATCAAAAATATTCCCCACACTCCCAACATTTATATGCTCTTTATTCCACATGGAGTCTTTGAAGGTTTCCACCTTCAACATTTCCCACACTCTACACATTGGGAAGTTCTCCTCCTCTGTGGACTTTCTGGTGTTTGTGAAGATATTGTGACTGAGAAAAACATTTCCCACACTCCAAGCACCTGTAAGGTTTCTCTCCTGTGTGGATCCTCTGGTGGATCACAAGGCGTGACTTCCGAGGAAATGATTTCTCACACTCCAAGCATTTATAGGGTTTCTCTCCTGTGTGGATCCTCTGGTGGATCACAAGGGGTGACTTCTGAGGAAATGATTTCTCACACTCCAAGCATTTATAGGGTTTCTCTCCTGTGTGGATCCTCTGGTGGATCACAAGGTGTGACTTCTGAGGAAATGATTTCTCACACTCCAAGCATTTATAGGGTTTCTCTCCTGTGTGGATCCTCTGATGGATCACAAGGGGTGACTTCTGAGGAAATGATTTCTCACACTCCAAGCATTTATAGGGTTTCTCTCCTATGTGGATCCTCTGATGGGAGACAAGGGTGTCTCTTCTTGAAAAACATTTCCCACACTCCAAGCATTTGTGGGGTTTTCTCTCCTGTGTGGATCCCTCTGGTGCCCCCTAAGACTATGTGCTAAAGTAAATGACATTCCACAGTCTAAACATTTATGTGGCTTTTCTCCTGTGTGGACTCTCTTATGAATAATAAGATGTGATGAAGAGGAAAAACATTTCCCACACTCTCCACATTCATATGGTCTCACTCCTGTGTGGATTCTCTGGTGTACATGAAGGTGTGATTTGCTGGTAAAACATTTTTCACACTGCACGCATTTGTAGGGTTTCTCCCCAGTGTGGATTTTTTCGTGCTGCTTGAGGTGTTGTTTCTGGGAAAAGCATTTTCCACATTCCATGCATTTGTAGGGTTTCTCTCCTGTATGGATTCTCTGGTGGATTGCAAGATGTGATGGTACAAGAAAACATTTCCCACACTCCACACATTTATGAGGCCTCTCCCGGTGTGCACAGTCTGATGGCTCAGAAGTTCACCTTTCTCATGAAAACATTTGCCACATTCTCTACATTCATAGGGTTTCTCTCCTGTGTGGATTCTCTGGTGTCGCCTGAGACTTCTATTTGTGGGGAAACATTTGCCACACTCTAGACACTTATGGGGCCTTTCTCCTGTGTGGGTTTTCTGATGGGTTGCAAGGCTGGAATGGAAAGTAAACTTTTTTCCACATTCAAAGCATTTATATCGTTTCTCCCCTGTGTGAACCAACCGATGGCTCCAAAGATGTGTGTTTTGAGGAAAACATTTCCCACACTCCCAGCATTCATAGGGCTTCTCTCCTGTGTGGAGCCTCCAATGGACCACAAGGCCTGACTTTTGAGCAAATGATTTCCCACACTCTGGGCATTTATAGGGTTTTTCTCCTGTGTGGAGTCTCTGATGGACCACAAGGACTGATTTGTGAGCAAATGATTTTCCACACTCTGGGCATTTATAGGGTTTTTCTCCAGTGTGGGTTCGCTGATGGGTAACAAGTTTTGACCTAACAGAAAAGCATAACCCACACACACTGCATTTGTGGGGCTTCTCTCCTGTGTGGACTTTATGGTGTCCATGAAGCTGTGATCTCTTGGGGAACCCGATCCTACTCTCGGCATATTTGCGGGGTTTCTCTCCTGTGTGGCCTCTTTCATGTTTCACAAAATCTGAGAGTTGGGAAAAACCTTCCCCACACTCCAAGCAGCGATATGACTTATCTCCTCCTGCATGGACGTTCCGGTGGATCAGAACGATGGGCTGATGAGCAAGAACCTTCCTGAACTCCAAAGACATAGGGGTTTCCAAAGGGCTCACAAGCTCTGAACTCTGACCAAAACATTCCCCATGCTCAGAGCTTTCCTGGATCTTCTCCCCTGTGTGGATTCTCTGGTGTCTAGCAAGAGCC